GAGTAACTGCGCTTACCAATTAGCCGATTAAGACCATTCTTGCCTTCAATATTAAGTACCAGATATTTGCTTCGTATTTTTAATTTTGATAATTTATGAATTTCGAAGGAAATTCCTTAGTGTTTGAATAAAATTAAATTCTCTGAAAATTAAAACAAAATTAAATTTTTAAACTATGATTTTTGGAACACTTTGACTGTCATCAATATATCATCAATATATTATATATATATATATAAATATATATATAAATATACATACGATAACACTTAAATGGGTAAAAAATCCAATTATCGCTGTTAAGATGCGTTTAATCAAAAGGCTCGGCGCACTTCTCTCCATTATAAGTGATCAAAAAAGTTAGCACAAAAAACAAGAATTTAGGAGAAAATCCTGACTCATTTTCTCTTGCACAAAACGAAACATGAAAAAAAAGAACTTGTGCTACCGATACTGAGTACAGGATGTATGTAAATGAAAAGGAATTTAAGAGTTTGTTCTTTTTTAATAACTATACTTTCGCAATTGTTCTATTTTTAAACAATAATTTTAATATTCAAGCATTAGCTAAATGATACTACCCGGAAGTATGAACTAATTAAAGTTAATTACTAACAAATAACAATATTTACATTAAAAGTGAATAAATAAATTTTAATATACAGAGGACGAGAAAGACAAAAAAAAAAAGTTGCTTAAGAAAAACAAAGTTCTTTAAAGCGTAAGTAAAGACCGAAGGGCCACACTAGCGCACATTTAAACTAAAATGGTAATAACTGCCAGCATTCGACCAATCAACGATGTCTAATGACATCTACAATACAAGAATCCCTGCTATAAAGTGCAACATTTATTCTCTAGAATAATAGAGCAACACTGTTTATGAATTTCATTTCTAAGAGCGCAGGGAAGCCAATCGAGTTTATATTTCTTGCAAATCTTCTTCGTCAACGTCCTCTGCATCCTCCTCCTCTGCTGTTTGTTATTCGCCACCACCAGCTAAATCCTCTCGCGGGACAGGAGCTTCTCCCAATTTGCCATCGGCAATTTCGAACAGCACGTTGTCACCCTCTTTTTTTGCTTCTGCTTCTATTTCTTCGGCCTCCTCCAGGGAATCCATAGTCTTCTCCAGCATTTCTTCTATAATGCCGGTTTCATCATCTCTTTCGACATGTCACGCATGGTACCGGGATAACGCACCAAATTTTGCATAGCTTGCATAACTTGGGTGGATTTTTGAAGAGAGGCAACAACACGTAAAGTAGCTTTAAAAAAAATCAAAACGCCGAAAATTACTTACGAAGAAAGTAACCGCAGCAGCAGCTAATCTGAGATCACTCATGTTTTCAAAAATGAAAACAATATTTTCTGCTGATTGCTCGTAAGATAAACAAGAACAAATGCTGAAAATTATTCTGCACATTTCGTACATGAAAATATATTGTGTGTCCAAAATGAGATATTTGTAAAATAAATACATGGTTATCAACTAAGACAACTTGTAAAAGGCGACAAGTTAAATGTGTTATACATGGAAATACTATAAAATATTGCAAAAGCTGATCAGAGATATACAACTCTTTTAAAATAAATTAGCAATAAATTTAGCCTCTGTACAAATCTGCTGAATAACGTATATCTATTATACACCTGAGTTATTCATATTGGCGGCATTACAGCAATGAATATGTGTGACTTCATATTAATTTGTATTGTATCCGCTATTGCCGATATATCCCATATTTTTTAGATTCTGGGTTTTTTTTTTTTTTTTTTTTGGATAAACCAAGGTATGAATGCATGTACGTGCGATATAGAATGCAGAATGCGTAATAGATGCGCAAACACATCAATTATTGTTCTTGCACACAGGTTGATGTGGAAGCTTAGAGGGCTAAAGATTTTAATGCAGGTGGGTATGCGAGATTCGGCCCCAGTTGAATATAACTTTCTTATTTGTTTCCTTTCAATTAAAATCTTCTCTTAATAATTTTGAAAAACCTTGGAAAACCGGAATTTCATATTTCTGATTAAAAACGATTTTGGCTGATTTTCAAAGATCACAAATAAACGCATCGACAATAGGGTGAGGGAGCAAAATTAACTTTCTCCTTCATCTTGGAAACGAAAAGATGGCATTGTTTGCTTTTTATGGAGAATTAATTTACCGCATTCTCAGGAGGGAGTTGCGTGACTAGCAGACATTTCGTTCGTTAAGGTCAAGCGTTTCAAGCCCTTGTTTGATTTACGGAAAGCCGTTTTATCGATTATCGTCTTCATTACGACTCCCATGTGCGCGCGACAGTGAAAATAAAGTTCCTAGTCATTTTAGTCAGGTCAACCTCATTGTCTATGTATCCTTCCTTCGGTGCGTCTGCTCCTATTTGTTTGGATATGGAAGGAATTTTCCTTATATGCGTTTATTCATTGACTTTAGTTTAGGCATTCATGTCCAAACTGTCTACTTTGCTAAAATCTACGATGTCGCCACGTTAAGATGTTTTGATCCCCTTTTGGTTGCTTGAAAAAACTCATTGCGGTTAATATCATATCGTAGATTCAGCTAAGAGAGTGTCAGAATGCCTTAGTGAAGTTCACCGCTGCTCTTATCATTAGAATCGACATCACCGCCACTTGCATCAATATAAGCATTAGAAGTATTGCATTTGGAGCGACTAACCCTTTGGACATTGTAAAATCAGCTTCAGAACCGAATATAAATTCAATATATTACTTTATTAATAGTACTAAGCTTATTATCTAATGTACATTTATTTATATTAGAGCCGATAGCCTGTGCTGCTAGTGCTCAATGTCTTTTTTTTAGTCTAATAATTTATTTCATTAGTCTAAAATTATAATAATAATAATAATAATAATTTTCACTCTCCCTTCAATTGCTTTTTATCATACTATTTTTTGTATGAAAAGCAAGAGAACTTAATAAAGTAAGTGTTAATTTTTCATCTCAGGTAAAATTTAAAGCTCTTCAGTTATTGCGTGATGAAGTATGACGATTTATACTATACTTTGCATTAAAGTGGTTCGTGTGGGTATGACAAAGTTCTGGCCACGGCTTACAATTAGAGTGAGTTAGAGCCGACCATTGAGTACCCTACAACACTTCGCTTAACACTATTATTTATATAAAGATTTTTCGAAATAATGCGTTATATGAGATATGGCCGAAAAAGTGATTCGATCCCAACTATTTTCAATAGCGTTGTAGCGGTAGCCATAGACGCCATGTCAATGACACCTTTGCATTATGCAGCTGCTTGCAGTCATTTGGAATGTTCCCGCCTCTTGTTAGAACATGGTGCCGTAGGGAATACGGCAGGAGAAGAGATATAATAGCGGTATTCCAGCTACAGCTGATTCTAGTAACAATAATGCAATTTGAGTAAAAATTAGGATAGGAAGAATTTAGAAGTAATTGCTAGATTACTATAAAATGGTTTAAGATACCCATACTTGCTTTCAGTCATCTAATGAAGAATTTAAATTATTTATATTGGACATTAAGTTGGATTGCTTTAAGAGCCTCACCAAACCCAAGTGCGCAAAATTAATCAAAAATTTCAAAACACTTCAAAAACTTCAATTTCTTACAAAAAAAAAGAATTTATTTCTCTATATTTTTTTTCGTTGATCGCCCCGATGGTTATGATGACGGAGTAATTGTTAAGATAGCTCCAAGTTTACTTTTAAATTCAAAACATTGAGAATAAAGTGAAGTTGTTTTTAAAAATACGTTTAAGTCCGCGATTTTCTACATCTACGGGTATTTCATTAAACGATTTCTTCATGTTTTAGTCACGCACTTCGAGGTTGTCTTTTTTGTCGGCCCATGGAGCAGATTGGCAGCAAATTACCCCGATATTTTTCAGGCATACTTTCAAAACGAACGTATTTAACGAAGCATTGAAATATTTTTCCATCTCAATTTCCTCAATTTCCTTTAAAGAATAATATTTTTCTTTATTTCCAAATATTTAAGAGTCTTTCATCTTTTAAGAGCCACTATTGTAACAGTTATTTCATCTGATGTTCATGTGATATCTAAGTATGTTCAATACTTGCATATGGTGTATATATCTGGTAGCATTTAACGATCTGGGGACATTTAACGATTTTATAATCGGCTCTCAGATATGAATATTATGGAACCTTTAAGAAAATTATCAAGCACATGGCAGAATTTGGAGTTGAGCGCGACTTCTACAATGCCTTGGTTAATGTCCTGCCAAAGGGTGAATTTATACCATGTAATATTTTTCAATCGGAATTTATGCACTATCCTAAACAACAGCAGATGGTAGGCATTACAATACTTCTATCTATGTTTTTGGTGACACACGCGACATGCAGAACAACTTCAACTTTTGTTATGCTAAAGGGCTTATAATCGTTGCGATTTTAAAAGTTAGCTGTCTGTCCATGCAATTTTCGTTTTGTTCAACCTATAAGACGCAAATTTTCGAGATCTTTATGAAGAAATAAATTGAAATAAAAAGAAAAAGGCCGTTTTTAATTTAGTTTGATAATTGTCTATTTTTATGTAAAATAAAAAAACGCAAACAGAAATAAACAATAAATAAGAATAATATACATAAAGCCTAGTTTTTTTTTTTATTTTTTATCTTCAAGTTATTTATATTATTATATTAACTACTTATTTTATGTTATTATATTATTATATTACCTATACATTTTATATTCGTGGCAAACATATCCAACGTACTTCTTAGTGAGTTGTTGCGTCAACATGCAAAATTGCAGCGGACAAACGCACAGACTATGATTATCGAGGAGGACTTGTTAGGTTTCGACAACACAAACAAAATAAACGATTCGACGAAAATTGTGCCAGCTTTAGACGAATTGAAGATATTATGTGCAGAAGCGAGGAGAGGAACGAACCAGGAACAGAAATACACGCAGATGTAGAAAGATTAGTAGAGAATATCGAAGAAGATAGGACCATGACGGACACCACGGAGGGAACTGAACAGGACGATATTTGAATTCTTCAGTTTTATAAATATCTAAAGCCAATAAAGCATTTAAAGTCTACAATTCAATACCCCCTACTAGGTACTATTAGTTTGGTATTAGGCGAAGAGGCCGACGGTGGTGGAGAAATACGTTGTATGGGTGCTGAAGCTGCATCATAAATATATAAATTTATACCCTTTTTAGTATAACAACTTACCGCTAGCAGAAACAAAATTCATAACCATAGGATCAGTTTAAAACTTGAACATTTTTCAAAAGTCAACTGATAATTCTGGGCTAAGAGATCCGAACTACACCCATGGTCGTGGTTTATATTTTCGAATTGTTATAGTAACAGCACTTATTCAAAACATTTATCAATATGCTCTTATTGTTTCAATAAATGAAACTTCAATACAAAATAAAATGGTGTAACTTTGTTGTTAGGCATTCTTTGGTATTTATTTACATAAAATAGTCTCCACCGAAACCGGGTGGCGGCAAATGGTCAGGATTAGGATGGGGACGAATATTGCGATCAGGTAGTGGCCCGAAAGGATCAAAGCGTGGCTGCATACCACCAGGACCCGGATGTGATGGAAATGGAAGTAAGTTGCCATGACCTCCGCGCGCAAAGGGATCTAAATCGCCACGTCCGACCTCCGGGAAACCGAATGGGCGCGGCTCAACTCCCGCTGGATGGTATTGTCTGAATTCATATTAAAAAAAAAAAAAAAGATGAAAAAATGGACGAAAATATCCGAAAGTATTCCCCAGTCAGCTGACAAAAGAATTTTCATACCCCAAAGGGTGCAAAGGCATTCCAATACGTAATGGATCCGGTCGATCAGTAGTTGTTGATGTTGTGTTGGTCTGTGTAGTAGTAGATTTGTTTTGGCCTTGATAAACCTTGAAAAACATTTAAAATTACCTTTGGAAATCCAATAAACATTAACTTACTGGTTCTAATAATTCTCTGCGGTATCTATCGGTCAACTGAGATGCAGATGGTATCATCTTTGTAATGGAGCCCCTAATGTCGCTTACAAGTTCGTCAGGCGAGAGGCATATATTAGAAACTTTACGAGTTTTTACATTCAGCAAAGTAATTATTATAGAACCCTCAGTTCTTAAACCTAGTAAAATGTAGAGTAGTTTATCGTAGATATATCGTAGAGCATAGTTATGTTCGTCTGCATTCCAATTATCCGGTAATAACTCTGAGCCTGAAGATTCTTCCTCTTCTGCCAAAGTTTTCTGTAATACAAAAGTAAGAAAAGAAATTACAAATGCATATATATGTACATATATGTATGTAACTTACATTTTCCCCTAAACCAATGCAGCGAAATTGCGAATGTTTAGTCAAAACGAAATGGACTAAAGCAATAAGCAAATCATCTTTTTTATTAATATCCTTCTCTATCGTTTTATACAACAAATTCCAACCATAAAAATAATCTCCTGGATTCGACATGGCTTGTTTTTTTAAGCAACTTTTTATTTTGTGTGCCTAACCAATTACAATTTCGCTAAATACTCTTTTCTTGGTTTAAAGGTGAAAAGGATGATTTCTGACTATTAGGTCGTTTTTTTAAGTTACTTTGTTTTCCGCAGCTGACAGAAAACAGTTGGTTTAAATTTGCAACTTCCTCTTCTTAAGTGTTCAGTCAACAAACGATGATCGCGTGTTATAATAAAAGAAGGCTCAACAATTCAATTTATAACATTTTCCACGGGAATTTATTTATTTGTTATATCAATAAGAAGGGAAAAATTTTAATTAAGCAGAGATGCATTTTTAATAGTAAACATTCTTAAATTGAATTGAAGAAACATATATTGGAAAGTTTTATGCGGGTGCTTCCGCATCGCTATGATAAATACGTGCAAAGTAAAATCAACAACAATATAACTTTATTATTTACTATTTGTAATTTCTTGGCAGCAAAAAAGGAAAATAAAGTATTAATCCACAATGATTTACTGTTATTAATATTAAACCGATCGCAGATTTAAATGCAATATTTAAATTCCACGGTGCTTACTGGATGATTACTGAATTGACTACATTGAACTTAGCTTACTTTGAGTTACTTTAAAATATTAAAGGAGTAATATTTTTCTAAAAAAGACACGCTCTAATTAACATTGCATCACTGGTGGTTTTTTTTATATCGCAGCATCAGATTTTATATCAACATATATAAAATGTTTTGATTGTTCCCGATAGTAAGTTGAATACGCTGCGCCGCTGCGACTTTTAAAAACTATCTGAATAGAAAGTCGTTGTATTGAAAAAGAGTTCTTCTATTCAAATTCATTAATTATTTGTTGCAAGATTTACATCAGCACTAAATTATATTTAGATTCATGTCGTAGAACCCTTATACGTCTTAGCCAAAGACAATACTTGTATACAGGTCAAGATTGTTTAAAAGATATTCATCTATTTTTGCGCATCACATTGCTCTGCTTAATAATTTGTACCTTCGATAAATTTGTATAGAAAAATGCCTGCAATACGGATTATCAACTTTTTCGTTTTTCCGTCATAACTTAATATATTCGAACAAATATCTTATACCTGTTTTATTTATAGATAGTTTCGTGTCAAGTGTACATAAGATCCGTCTATACATTCGCCTATCAGTCATAAGCAACGTATTTGGATGAGAGTAGATTGACATTAAGGAGTAATTGCCTATAAACACGCCCATAATTTCTAACTTCTAAAACATTTTGTACAAACATTTTAATTAAGCAAGGTCCAACTTGTCCATCATTTAAGTTTAGTTCTGATAAATACAATTTCTTCTCTGCACACTTATGTATGTTTGTCTATTATAGCTTTTTATAGGCTACTCTCTATAACCTCTACTTTCATGTCGGTCCAAATTTATAACTACAAACAAACATGAAAATTATACCAATGAATTTAGAGTCAAAATGACGCTACTAACTTGTCAATGTGACGTTAAATTCAATTGCTTACTCTTTCTTTTAAATAGTGCAACTCTTTTCCTCTTAGGCATTTAATTATTTTTGGACCGTACGACGAACAGGAACGAAGAGGCCGCCATATTAGAGAATTTTTTTCAGTTTCGTGTACACAAGGTAGCATTTTTGCGACAAACGCACATTACGGAGACGGTGAAAAAGTTTTCTATACATTTATAAAGAATAAATTTTATTTTGATTAAATAAAGAAACATGTGAAAATATTACTGGAACGCTAAAATTAAAAGATCGAAGCAGTGTTGTGTTTAATATAAAACAAAAAAGGAAAAGTAAATGAAAAAGGGAAATTTTTTTTAATGTGCATTAAGTAGAAGAGGGAAGTGTGGCAATTAAAACTAGACATAACAACAAAAACTGATTAACTTAAGAGAATTTTGTTGTGGTCGTGCTAAAAAAAAGCATAGTTAAAAGTTTTGTGTCACATAAATATAATTCAATTGAGGACTTTTCCATTGGATTTCAACATGAGTGAAGCCAGCACAGGGAGCCCTGGCGACGCCACCGCCGCCGCCAGTACACCTATGGCGTCAACAACGGCCGCGACCATGCCATCGCCGTCGGTTGTCGCCGATCATAGTAAAGGTTTGTTTATTTATATTAAAGCGCGCCTTTTGGAAGTGATTTAGAGAAATATTATTATTTAATGAAAATTGAACAATAAAATATAGTAATTCTCAATTTATATCTATACTTATATCCATTTTTTTGGCTTTGCCCATTATAAATTCGCTTTAATGCTATAAACTTGTGGCAAATTCGCAGCTAGCAGGGACAAGCACCGTTCAAACAGAGTTGTAACTTCGATAATCGACTCGTTTAATTACGAACCACAAAAAGCTCTCCTCCGTACGTTTACGAAATGAGTTTTCGTGTGAAATTGCTTGCGAAGAACAAACCCGAATCTCCAACACATTATTCATATGTGAGATCAATATTTAGGTATTACGTTTAAGAGTAACACCCAAGTAACTCATTATCACTATATGAAACCATTTCTTGATCTATTGAAGATAAACGATTTTTTCTTTGTCCGGTAGTTAGTTTTCAAAAGTTTGAAACGTGGTAAGAAAAACTCCCCATCCCACTAGCACTGCGAAAAGAAATTTTCATATGAAACTGCTTGCGAAAAAACTGGGATCTTTAAAAAGTTCTATTCGGATGTCGCATTCTTCTATATATATTTAACAGCACGCAGCGTTATGGTTTATCGGCAAGTGGTTTAACAATTTGAGATATTAATCTTCATCGAAAATTGTCGATAAAGATCGATTTCCTTGATAATCGTTCTTACTGATCAGAATAGTCTTTAAAAACATTAAAAGCAGATTTTATATATTCAAGATCGCTCGTTGATAATAACCAACGAAGAAGTGGAGATTATATGAATTGGCCTGATTAAGGTAAAGCACGAACTTTTTATTAAAACATTTATAAAGTCACTAAACCATTTCTAGTTCAGCGAATGATTTAATAATATAGTAAATGTAGAAGCATTGAAGGGTTTCCTAAGGCTTCACCTACATTAATCCCTTCTTAATATTTATCTTTAACGTTGCATTTTACTTATGTGCCCGTATACGTGCGCGGTGCAAATTTTTCCTTTCAAACTATTCTCTTAGATTTGATATTAAAGTCATATAAAAGTTCAGATTAAATGAGTTCACCGATTCGGTGAAGTCCTTAAAGTTCTATTTTTACTGTTACATAACGACTAATATATGATAAAATTTCGTCGCGTGTATTAATAACAGTCATCGTGAAGAAAATCCATCTAGCTTTTGCTTTTGCATTCATAGCTTTCAGCAACGGCACAAAACCATCTTGCTTTTTCTGCCAACTAATATTCTGGTTTAGATCAATACTAAATAGTTATTAGATAAGCACGAACGAAAACAACGTGTTATATATTTACATATATAATATTTTCTACACATCTTTTTTATCATATACATATTTATATAAATATATATATTAAATGATCATGAATTAACTAACTCACTTTTGATATTTTTATGCTCGCCGAACAATATTATTCAGTTTCAGAAAACTTAAAAAAAGGATAATTATTTTAAATTATTTATTAAAAACAATAATTATTAATGACAATTCAATTATACTATAATAATCATTATTGTAATTAGTAATTAAAGACCATAGAGCCTCTTTCGATACAGTCATGAAGGATAGAGATTTATATAACATAAGGATATCACGCAATACAAGAAATAAAGCCAAGATCTCTACGTGATTTATAGATTATAAAAGTTTTTTACAGCTACTTTAAATCTACTCGGGCTAACAATCAATTTTTCATATGGAATGGTAAGAAATTTCATACCTTTACAGTGTTAGCAAAGAATAGCCTTAAAGATTTTACTGGCAAAGCTAAATTGTCTTAAAAATAAGTATATAGAAATAAAAGCAATACTTCGAATCTTGCGAACTCTCTCTTTCCTGGGTCCTATAATCAGTAAAAAACAATGGCTACAAGGTGTATATAATACTATTATCTTTCTTTTCAGCTGCAAATTATGAGTTTGATTCCTCCCTGTCCGAAGAAGAACGTCGCTTCTATTTGAAGGCTTACCCTACTATCGACGTTGTGCGTGAACGTAAGGTTCATTGCACTGTGTGTAAAACTCATATTGGTACCGCTCCAATACAAGAGAGTAACATTAAAATGCATCCAATTTTAAGAGTTACACACTGCGTCAAATGTCATGATTTTTATAACAGTGGCGAATTTAGTAAAGGCGAAGATGGATCGGAACTATATTGCCGTTGGTGTGGTCAAGGAGGTGAAGTCTACTGTTGCTCTAGCTGCCCGTATGTCTTTTGCAAATCGTGCATTGTAAAAAACCTGTCACGTGGAGTTGTAGTAGATATAGAACAAAATGAAAATTGGAGTTGTTTCAGTTGTGCACCGAAGATACTATGGCCATTAAGAGCTCAACATTGGGCTTTAATGTGCTACATAGAACAACAAAAAAGGCAAGTTTATTGAAATCTGACATAAGTGATTGCGAAATATATGTAATGTTGTTTCCTTTTTTTGCTCTTCTTCATATTTTTAGAGAAATCTACGCACTGAATTTGTCGGAGACTGAACTGAAACAACAATTATCTACAGATCGTAGCAAATGTTGCCGTCTAGCTAAAGCTAAATGCGGGAATATGTCTGATTCCCTGGAAAGTCTGGACTCTGTCACGTCAAAACGAAGTTTTAGTAGCAACAGTTCGGCTAAGAAAAAACACGCAAGTGCACCTTCACCGCAGCCCAGTGCTAAGCGCCCTCGCAACAACGATGATATAGTTTGTACCCCCGACCTAATGAGCATGTTAGAGCCGGACTGCCAGATAACCGTATCTCAAAAGCTACCGACACGGCCACTGCCTACACCAGCAGCTTCTGCACCTAAAATTTTATCGATTAAACCGGGATTTCCTGGTGCAAGTAATATTATGACATCGACCCCAAAAAGCTCGGTGCCACCACCTTTAGTTTTACGTAATACAGGCATTAAAGTTAGGCCGGGTTTGCCGGCACCGGTAGTACGGCGTACTGTTATAGGACCGAGGACACCCACGCCTGGAGCTACCGGTGCGCCCGTTTATCATACCATCAATGGCTATCGTATCGATTTAAATTCAGCCGCTCAGCAAGAAACGTTCCGTTTGCCCAACGGCAAATTAATACAAGTTAAACGTCAAGGGGCCCTGCCTGTCGCTCCCACTATTAATCAAAATTGCAACTCGTGGCAGCAGCAACAGCAGCATATGCAACAGCAACGCGCAGCAGCCTCTCAATCTATGCATCCTATACGTTCCGTGCAAATAACTCAGCAATCCTATCAAACGGTCCAACCTCAACCCCAGCACGGGCCACAATCTCAACAACATCCTCACCTAGTGCGTTATCCTGGCAACATGTCAGGCAGTGGTGCTTCGATAAATCATGCTGTAAATCACAATGGAGGTATAATGCAAGTTATTAACGGCCAGGTGCCAAGCGCGCAAACCCAACCGGCAATTAACGCTAATACTCCCTTAAGGCCTATTATGATTCGCCATATCTTCCCCGATACGCCAATCGGCCAAGCACGTTCCCAATTACAAGAACAAGTCTTCAATGCCATGGAAATTTGCACACATCTCACTAATAAGGTTCAAACCCTAACCAATTCGAATGCTTACAAACAGGCACGAAACTATCTAGAAGTTAAGGAACTGTACATCCACTTATCCTATTTACTAACTTATGCTATAGGGCGTTTTAAAGGATTACAAGACAAATGTTTAGCTGATATGCGTCAATTAGGATTCGTCAGTGATGCCGATTGTTTGGAAAACGGGCAATTGGCAGCAGGTAAGTTGAAATTGTTGTTAATAACTGGACGCCTAGTTGATAAAATTATTTATTATAAATATATATACGTAAAAAAATTAATTCAACAATGACAATGCCCGAAGTGATCTACTTTATAAATATAAATTCAGCAGTATAGAATGCATCTGATTTTCCTGAAGGAACATAGCTAAATTTATTGTAGTCTTAAGCATTGAGCAAAGTTGTTGTTAACGATTTAAGTGTTTTATTATATTAATTTATGGGCATTATTTCATTCGATATTCAAAAATCATTGTCTTTAGTCATTTTTTCCAACACATGGACTTTTGTATGAGAAATTGTTTAAAAAAGTGTTCGTTGAAAGTAAAAAAAAAAAAATAAATAAAAGAAAAGAGAATTTAAATAAAAAAGAAAACCGGAATGTGTAAGTACCTAAAAGTAAATAATTATATGAGTTGTATTTCATTGACTTCCGGCCAAAATAAAACTTAATAGGCACCGAAAACAACATGGACAATATCAATCTAAATAAGAAAAATAAATTTTATTATTAATACTAAACTTTCGATCGAAATTTCTACTTTAATGAGTCCATGTGTGTTGTATGTTTCGAAAAATGTCTGAAGGCAATGAAATTAACTCATGTCATTAGTTTTTACAAAACTTTTAAAATTTAATTTTTGTTTCTCTTTAGGGGTCGATTACGTTTGCTACGGTCAATTGGATGATGTCGATCTTTTCAACACTGGTTCGAATAGCTTTCATAATCAGATTTATGAGTATCGTAAAAGTTTACATGCCAATCTCAAGGATAATGACGATGGCGCCAAATCTCCTTTGCCACCTATCTTCCCATTAGGAGTGGCTCGTCAAGAAAACGAAGATTGCAAGGAGGCTGGGGAGGGAGACGGAGCGGGAGAAGATAGCCTCTTGGAAGGTAGTTTTAAAGGCCATTGGCTGGAGGGCGGAAGTGATTCACCCATGGTACCACCCGATACCGAAGATAACGATGAACAAGACAATGACACTTATAATGATAACGATAACGATGATGAGGATTTTGGAAGTAATAATTTTAGTACTACCCGCGGCGGCACTGAGGATAGCATGCGTCGCAGCGAAGAAACACATGCTTTTGATCGTAAATTAACACGCTTAGTTTCACAATACCCTTCGATTTGGTGCACACGACATCCGGATTATGGTAATTTCGAAGTCACTCGCAAACAATGGAATACCATAGCTTCGCATTTTCGCTATAGTGAAAATATAAAATTGCGTTGGAAAAATATACGAAAACGTTTTGTACGCATTGAAAAACGTATAGCCGAGGGCAAGCGGTTTAATGGGCATTTTGACAAAGCCATGGCTTTCCTGGCTAATCGCGATTTACCCGAAGATCAATGGGTACCTGTTGATTGCGGCGATGCTGACGGGGATACTTACGATCGACGCACTTTAGACGCTATAGAACGCTCCTTAACATTGCAAGGAAGAGACGAGTTTACCCACCTTACGCGTGAACGTAATGATAAAGATAGGAAGGAGAATTTCTATCAACCACCCACAAGGCCTATTGATATAAAAGATGTTGACATGCGCATAATAAACTTTGTTAAAGCGAATAGTGTGTTATGGCGTAAATCAGTCGACCCTGAAGTGGATAAACAAGATGAGGCGCAACGTAAAACGTTATGGCAGCAATTAACTCGTCTCTTACCGCGTAAGTTTCAGCGAAAGATTATTTCAAAAAATATTTTCCAGTTAAAAAATATAATGCACTGTTTACAGAATACTCCTGCGAGGACATTAAAGACCGTTGGCAACATTTATATGAAATGTATAAAACGTTTCGTTTGAAAACTATTAAATCGCCAACAGATCGTTCCTTGCTTGAGCTCAAGTATTCCAAATATTTAGCCAAACTGTATTTTCTTTATAAAATTGACGAACAAGAAATGCGCAATGAAAACATTGCACTATTTGAGGATTGCTTCGAATTGGAGGAAGATGAAGAAGAAGAGGAAAATGAGCATACAGATTGTTCCCCCAATCTTAGTAAAGATACCGTGAATGATTCATCTCAAAAACTACAAGATATGCCAGATGATAAAGAATTGTTACAGCAATTGGTGCGTTGTGTGAAAGATTATCCGGCCATCTGGGATATTCAACACGTAGATTACAGTGATATCATGATACGCGACAATTATTGGCAGGAAATCAATGAAAAACTATCGAATTTTCAACGTAAGTCACTTAAATATATATATTTATCTTTCTGCTTAACAAATATATATATAAACTTTTTTCTTGTCTTTTTTTTTTTTTCTTTTTGTTAAAAGGTGATGTCAAAACCATAAAATTGCGTTGGCAACTGGCAAAATTTAGTTATTACCGTTGGAAACGTGAAAATGGGCAAATTTTGGAAAATTCCAAAATGGAAAAATTTTGCAAAAATCTACCTATCCAAGATATGGCGTTCTTGGATTAATAAACCAACATTAAAATATAAAATAAAATTAGTTTTTAAACTTAACCTCAACATTCTTTAATTTTAGTATTTATTTATAAACTTACTTATTGTACATTTAACATTCATGTCTAGAATAATTGTAAAAAGTGGATTTTTAATATTAGTTATGTCATACAAATATTATCCACTTTTATCAAATTTATGAAGAACAAATGGAAAGGGTCTCCCTTTTCTAAAAAAAAAAAAGAAAATAGGTGTTTATAAAGTTACTATTAACCTGAAATATCATGCAAAATTTTTTTCCCTTAATACTCTTAAGTTCATCCAAACACCTAGAACGACTTGAGATAGGACCACCACACACTACATAGATTGGCACGTAGTCACTTTCTGCACCAATCTCAGCTTGTTTGTGCGTACATTCGTCTTGTTTTCCGTTGTTCAACGTACAATGAAATTTAGTACACTGAAAAATCTTGATCCAAGTGGTTCGGATCGGACCACTTTCCATAGAACACCTTATTTTGAAAACTCATTATGTGAATAACGAATGTAGGGTATTTAACGAGTTAAGTTTGTTTGATAAATCTACTCGCCATGAAAAAAGTGCAAAATTTTGTATTATAACAATATATACGTCATAATTCTTCCGTTCATTCTTGGCCGATTATCATTATGAATGTGTACTTGCAATAATAATGAATTTTAGTATGTGTATATGTCATTTTATTAAGTTATAGCATTACAACCTAATTTCATATTACACATATTCTGTGCATGACGAGTATACTCGTCATCGTTAAATTTTTGCGAAGCAAATTAAATACAGGTTTTTCAAAGAGGTCGAAATAGTTAACTGCTGGTTAATGGTATGTCGCGTTCCACTATAATGTTTTTATTTGTTTCGAATAATTAAAAGCAAGAAGTTCTTTTTTTATGAAATAAGCAACGTTTACGGAGTGGCGATTCCCACCTCATCGTCATCAGATGATGTCTTCCTTTTAGAGTAGCAAGACGCAAATCCATTTGAAACATTGATCACAAATTCTTTGAATAACTTTTTATATTTCTCTTGAAACTTTCGCATTTTTCATGACTACATCCTTGTAAATTTTCAAAAGATATTTTCATTTCTTTTAAATCTGCTCTAAGAAATGTCAATTGGTCTTTAAAGGCAGGCGCCTTTATATTTACACTCTTTGCAGATTTTAGATAAATATTTTTTAATTTATAATAATTAATGTTCGAAATTTTCTTTTTAGATAAACAAGCCAGTGATGACGAGGATAATGAGATTGAAATAGTTGAACCCAAGACGGATCTTATAACTCTCGATTCAGACGATGATGAACCTTCGGCGAATCGTAAATCATCTATTTCACCTGTTAAAAAATCCACTACAACCACAAATGCCATTATTGATAGTAATAGTAACAATGCTGGTGTGATACACGGAAAAATAGGACAGACATCCTTAAACAAAGACGATACCATTGACTTAATGAGCGTCGCGCAAAGTTTCTTAGCGAGCATGTTGGAAGTAGATATGAGCGAGGGTAGTAATGGTGGTACACAAAATTCTCCAAATAGTACTGATTCGCTTATACACAAAAAGCAGCCACGCAAGAAAACTACCAATAAGCCTAATCCAACCTTAATTAAGCAAAAAGAAATTATGGAACGAGAACGTTTAGAGGAAATGAAACGTACAGATGTGAAATTGAAAATGAAATGTTCCGTAGCACTGGAAAAGGCTGAAGATGTGTATCCATTTGCAAAAGACATGCTTACTTCACAGAAGACAGATGAAGAGGAAGTCGAGGAGAAGTCACCGGAAGTGGCAGAGCATCAACAACTAGGAGATGACGGCACACAAAGGAATTCTGTATCTACAATGGTGGTAGATACAGGTAAAGAGACGGTTAAAGTAGAGGTAGTGTTGGAGGACGACCTAAATACTTCTAACGAAGGGGAAAAGTTAGAAGACAGTAATGTTAAGAATAACGAAGAAGAAGTATTGATTGCACAACCTGCCTCGGAAGAAAATAACGATATTTCCATAGTGAAAGAAATAGAGGAGGAAGCAATCTTGACAGGAACAGAAGAAAAGATAAATGAACCTAAAGTTGATGAGATGTCTAACGAAAATGAAGATTTAGACGTCGATAAAGAAATCGCCAAGGTTTTAAAAGACTGCAATCAGCGATTAGAGGAAGAGGAAAGCGTCAACAATATAGACAGATCAATAAATGATGATAGTCCAATAAAGATATGCTCACCCTCACCGAAAGATATTCGCAATCTTAAGGATACTTTAGATCGTACAATTGAAAAATTAATTACTGATGATAGACCCTGCAAGGATAGCTTAACAAAATCAGAACTAAGCGAACCTGTAATTTCGTTAGCCAAGGAACAACAAACTGTAGCTAACAATCCCGATGCTTAAATTAAGTTTAAATGTAAATCTTCCCGAACTATGCTATGCATCAAATGCGTTAAAAAAAATTTTTTTTTTTAATTACGTTGTATAACGCAGATTGTGCTCTATCGTATAATTATCTGTTATTTTTACTTTCCCATTTTTCATATTCATTTAATTTAATTGTATGAGTTTTCCTGCCTTACATCATCATTTTCTTCCACTTAAATTGTAAAAAAAAATAGCATTATCATTGCATGGTAACGCATACCTTCTTTGTAAGATTTTCATAACTCGTTGTTAAATTTAAAAATTCCATCAATTTTTTGAAACTTTTGATTATTTATATATTTTTAGAAGTTTTTCAAAATCATAAATTGCAAAATCTCTCAAAAAAGAAACTGGTGTTTTTCCTGTACTGGCAGAGAGAGAGAGAGAGAGGGAGATCCAGTGAACTTCAAGATTTAAAGAGGATCCATCTGGTAACTGCAAAGGAACTTTTAAAAGCAAAAATACATAGAGCGTTTTTCTCCAGATGTAATGAAGTAGAGTGTAGCAGTTACACAAGCTGCTACCAGAAACTGAAGTACATTTTCAATAAATTCAACACCATCCCCGTTTGGAATTCGACTCGTTCCAAATGCAAAACCGATTTGAATATCCTCAAGTCTATAGCTAATTCCAAAAGAATTTGCCTAGTTCAAGTCAGGTTTAATCATTGTCATTCAATAAGTAAAAGGAGTTTATAATTTGCAATTTAAATTACTCGCTTTAAGTCACCAGTTTAGCCTTATGAATCCGAACAAGTTAAGATAGAATTAAACTTGAATTAAGTAAAAATTTTGGATTGATTTTTTTTTTACCACTCAAGATTATTTTGTTCTTCTTCTCTTCAGTCAGTGCCAAACCGAAACTGACAAAGTTGTTTTATAATATTGTAAACAAAGCCCGCACTTTCTGCATATAGGGTGTAAGTCAATAAATGGTTCAGGCGTCATCACCCTTATCCATCAAAGTAGCCTTCCTCGAGAGTGACACCATCAATCCAAGGAAATCAACATTTATATACCTTTCTTATAGAACGATTTGTTCAACCCAAATATCACGCTTCAGTTTTGGCAATAATCATTTCTTCATGCATGAAAGAATCGTTAATATCTCGCCTGAACATAGAGTTGAATGGTCAACGCATTGTTGTTCTCGGCCAAAAGCGAACAAACTTGCACCCACTTCCAACAGGGCTTTCACATGAGTAAATTTTCATGTAAAATAAGGAACACACTGCCTTCCAATACAAGTGAGCGTGAGATATCTCACGCTCGTTTTTTCTATGCTCTAAAATCAGTTCTTGCAATTCTTTCATGATTTCTGGAATAACTTGCTTGAATTTATTCGACCAGAATCTTTGTCATCACGAATCTCCGTACAACTTTGTTTAAAATAATGAAAACAACTACGTATTATGTCACGATTACAGTAATTGATGTGTTCTAATCGCCACTCTTCACGACGCTTTTCTTTTTTATTTGCCAAATACTGTAACAACGGAGTAGAGGCAACTTCTTCCTTTTTACGATCTAAAGAAAATTCCAATTTACATTCATTTCCTTTAGCTTTAGCTTCCCGTTGCTCTTCCAGCTTTTTCAAGAATTGTTGGTAATGTGGTTCTTGTTCAATTGTATTAACCGCCGCACGATTTGTTCTTTAAAACGCCTTGAAATGGCGCAAATTCTACAATAGCTGGATACTCATTGCCCCTACTGTCCACAAAACTATAACCATCGAAACGATCGCGAAACAAAAAAATATCATTATGATTCTTAAAAGTAATGTAAGCACGGCAAGTAGCATCTGAACCCAATGACCAATCAGCTGGAGCAAAATAATAGAAATCATGCTCGGGTAACGGATCAATTTGCTTAAGAGTCTTCTTCAGTCATGGTGGGCGGTAGATGACGTATAATTATCTAAAATTCAATTGAAATCAACATTAGGGCAAAGATTTGTTTTAATAACTTAAAACATCATTAAAAGCCCATTGAAACACCATCAAATTGTTTTTACCTTATTTGGTGGTTTAATCTTATCATGTTCATGCTCATATCTTTGAGACTTTGTAGAGGATTTTTCGTCTTTTGCCATGTTTTCTTTATAATTTGAATATTCTCGAAAGTAGCACAATACATGTAAACAAATTTATTCAAACATTCTCAGTTGTATGGAATTTGTATTTTCTCAGATGGGGGTAATTTGTATACAAATTATTGAGTACGAATATACGCTTAATCTCGCATCGATGGCTTTTTTACAAAGCCCTGTTGAATTATTGAGAACGAATATGCGCTTATTCTCGAAAGTCGCACAATACACTATTGGGAAGTCTCAAAATGGACTGCAGCGTTCAATTTCAATTTGTATGCCTTATAAAAGTTAGTCGAAATATCTGCCGTTTTTTGCATAAAAAATATTTATAGAAAAAGCTGTTGAAATTTTGTTTTCAATGTTTTGTATCCAATATGTGCGGTCAAGCATTGTGAGAAGAGAACGCGCAATAATATGTTGAACTCGAAGAGGTAAACACAGGTTCAGATTGTATACGCTTATTATAGCCTAAGATAAATTTTCGACGAAATATTATCAATTTGCAGGTCAAGTCGAGTTTTACGATCAAAGGTTACTCCAAGACAATGAAAAAATTAATGAATAAAGGAACAAATGAATTAATAAATGAATGAATAAACCAATGAACGAATCTATGCATGAATGAAATAAATAAGGAAGGCCAAAATGAATGCCTGAGTGAATACATGCATGAATGAGTGGATAACTGAAGGCCTTAATGTATGAGGGCGTATATCGGTAAATGTATTGAACCTACAAGATCAACAGAGTAGTCCAGTATTTTAATCTCCAAGATGTCGCTAACTTAGCAGACAAGATTATAGCGCTTTTGTCTTTTAATTCCCGGCTGAGTCGCCGAGTAGGCTTATAATCGCGACTAACAACCCGGCAACAATAGTCGCGGGTTCAAATGTCAAGTGCGATGGAGTTTTCAATAGAGCCGACAACCTTAGATGGTGCTGCTTTCAAATTTAAATCTTAGAATTTATTTCTTTGGGTAAATTAATAATAATAATAACAATGATAAGGATATAAATAATTTCTTTGGATTTGCTCATCGTCTTTGCAAACAAACTTCCCTTGAATATGTACTGATACTAAGAATAGTAACCTGATTTTAATACTATATTTCCATTAAAATTTACTATTTATTCATGAGAAGGCAAACGATTCAAACAATCTCCAAAATGTTAAGCACTTTTTGGCTTTCGGTTCTCTTTCGTCTCCTGAATAGTTTTATACAATTTTTATAGGCGTGGCATTCGAT